GCCACTCGGCCGGCCCCAAAATGGCAATTTAAAGAAAATGAGTATCACTATTAGAAATGATCTTTCAAAATAAGGATATATATATTGAGAGGATATATCTTTATTCAAAACATTAAAAAATATTTTTTAGGAACAAAATAAATCCAATTTATTGAATCACAAGAACAAGTCTTATTACTGTAAAGGCATTTAAAAACAAAACCTTTAGTTAGCAATCTATTAGCAAATGGCTCTCTCAAAAAAATAAAAAAAGCTTTTGAAAAATTCTAAGTTCAGAGCAGCACTACTGAACTAAGGCTACTGCTCCCCACCCCCTGGCAATTCTGAGGCTGGTTTAAGAGAACAAACTTTTCTCTATGCTCTTTTAAGAAAAGGGACTCTCACATTCAACAAAACACAAAACCTGCCAAAACTTGATCTGCAGACAGAAGTTTCAAAAGAAAAAAAAACCCATGTGGAAAGGAACCCTTGAGTTTCCCCATGGCATTTTTCCCTTTCAACTCTCTTTGCCAACACAGGTTAGAAGGCATCTTGCTTCACTGGATCACTATCAACTACTCCAGATTCTGGGCACGGGCTCAGTATAGAGCAGCCTGTTTTAGGAATAAAGGTGCTGTATGGGGATCCTGTAAAGAATACAGGAAAGGCATCAGGAAACATTTTCCTTTGAGAGTTTTTCCCTGCTCAAACTTTAAAAGGTTCTGTATTTTATTTTAGTGAGAGATGTGGTTCCCAAACAATTTCACTTTGCTCTTTGAGAAATCAAGAGCTGCAGATATCCTCCTTCTATCAGAGGGAGTCATTTCTTCTCAGGGGCTAAACTTAGGCAAGAGACAGATACACTTTGGACCTAAGAAAGATAATAAGAATAATGTCCCTAGTCCAGAACAGTTTCACCTATTTACGACATTGCAAACAAATATTTGTAGTTCACCGTGGTGCACACAATTGATATACATACGTAACATTAACAGTGGGGTTAGAAGACACAAGATAAAAATAAGAAAAGAAGATAAGAGTAGGAGGGGACAATGAATGAAGGTTATACAGCCTCAGAAGTACAAACATAAAAGTAGTTTCTTCATACCTTAAACCACTGAAAGCCCAAATGAGTGATGTCATGAAATATTTCACTCAACAGTGTCAGATAGGCAGTGAGTAGCAGAATGGTGGAAATGAGATAAACAGGAAAGAGAAAAAGAAAAAAGCATGCAATTAACACAAAATTATATGTAGCTACTCTGGAAGACAGTTTCGCAGCTTCTTACAAAGTTAAGTATAGTCTTACCACACAAACCAACAATCACCTTCCACGTATTTACCTAAATGAGTTGAAAATTTATGTCCACACAAAAACCTGCACGTGAATATTAACAGAGATGCTTTATTCTTAATTGCCAAAAATTGGAAGCAAACAAGACATTCTCCAATAGTGAAAGGAATAAGCAAACGGTGGCACATCCATACAATGGAACATCATTCAGAGATAAAACCCAATGAGTTCTCAGGCCACCAAAAGATGTGGAAGGACCTTAAATGCAGAGGTTCAATGCAAAGAGCCAGTTTGAAAAGGCTACATGCTGTAGTATGATTCCAACTATGTGACATTGTGAAAAAGTCAAAACAGAAGGGACAGGAAAAAAATCAGGGACTGGGGAGATGGGGGAGGCGTGAGTAGGTGGGCACAGGGGGGTTTTAGGGCAGTGAAACTATTCTGTATGACACCGTAATGGTGAATACACACCATGTACATTTGGTAAAACCCACAGAACTGTACAACTAAAAAAGTGAACGAAAGTATAAACTATGGACTAGTTAATAATGCATCAGTATTGGCTCATCAAGTTTAACAAATGTACCACACCAATGCAAGATGCTAATAACAGGGAAAACTGAAGTGGAGGAAGGAGAATATGGGAACTTTGGACTTGCTGCTCAAGTTTTCTGTAAACTAAAAAACTGATCTAAAAAAAGTCTATTAATTAATTATAAATAAATAAGTAATCTGCTAAAGAGCAAATTACGACCAGTCCACACAACAATAGCTTTAGAAAGAACACGTAACAGCCATCCCTAATCTGTGATGACGTGATCTATTATTAATTACCAACATTTCTACACTATCTCTGATATTTATCACTTGTAACTAAATGATGATCCCAAAGCAAGAAGGAAAAATAACTGATATTTGGAAAATAAAGGAAAGACTGAGAAAAAAGTTAAAATGAAGCTAAAAGCAGATCCTCCCTCACCCTAGAACAATGGCTGTCACCATCCTTTTCTGAAGCTCTTCACCACCCAAGTTCTATTCAACTGGACATTAGGAAATATTCAAATAGAAAGTGGGCTGAGGCACTGATCTAAGAACAAGGCACTGAAAGCCACTCATTGTGTGAAAAAATCAATTTTCCTTCAGCTTTGCTAATAAATGTCAATCGGTCTGTCTTTCTATGCTTGACACTGAAGAAAGTACATCCTCGTATCTAACACAGTCATGAAGGGACGCCCCTGTGGCTCATGCTGCAACATGTCTGCTTTGAAATGTACCCTCTTCCTTGCTATGCAACTGCCCTAACTCACTTGAGCACTGCAGGTCTGATCAGTGAGTTTCCCAAAATGATTCATGTCACCCTCCCGTTGAGCTCCTTTTACCTGCTTAACATTTATATTTCTCCAGCAAAGAACTGGAAAGGGCATAATCACTAAAAAATTAAATGTAACAAGTCTCTGTGTGAGGCAGAGTCAAAAGCTCCAATCATACTCTCATAATGGGAACTGAAATTAGAGTCTTCACTGGTTAAACTGCTTCTTCCATGCACACTGCCCATCTTTAGTTATTCTTTCTAGTAAGAAGTTAAAAGCAAGAGTATGAGGATCTAAAAAGATTTAGGAACATACATAAAACAAACAGCAACAGTAGACCTCTTTAACGAGTCACCTCAAGAGACACACAGATCTTGGACTCTCGAGCATCACATATCTATGTCTTTCATACTTGCTATTAACCTTAACTTGTTACAACTTTAACTGCTCTTTTGAACAAGCCAGGGTATAAAATAAATAAACTATTTGCTATTTAAAATTAACATCTTTGACTCAGAAAGGCTTGTGGTTTTCCATTCATTTTACAAGCAGGGCTCTAACCAGTCTTGTAACAGAAGAGTTCCATTTCCTCTCACCAGATATATAAACATGGAATCGGTCCTAAATTATTAATGCAGAACCCTCTGCATTAACATTTTAGTCAATTCTTATGTAACTATATTTCAATTCTGATTTCAGTCTAAAATACCTTACACTTGACTGGTTTTGAAACCCTGTAAACACACATCATGTATACTTTGCCTCAACTATACCAGTTGGGTTTTACCTTTTGTCTAACCAGCAGCATTGCCAGTAATTGTATAAAATTGCAGACCTGTTTTTCAGCATTGGTCCTGGCTGATTCCTCTTGTGCTAGCACCATTTCTCGCTCTGCAGTTATCTGTACACTTTCTCTTAGTGCTTCTTCCAGCTCTTCAATTCTGTCATCCTTCTTACGGAGACTGTCCTGGAAAACGATGGAAGACTCGGTGAAGTGGACTAATTAGTTAACCAAAGGAGAGCCTATTTTTCAACAAATGGCTATTTGCTTATTATAGGTTCTTCCCTTCAGAAATAAATCCAAGCCAAAAAGATATCATCATAGAGGAAAGACTAAAACAGGGAAGAAAGAAGTTAAGGAGGTTGAATAAGTATATTAGTAAGAACAAAGATCCAGTTAGTTAAGCCAAGAGAAATGTGTGATGGACTTGTTCTCCACAACAGAGAGAATAAAATTGTTTGTGTTAGGCAACATAGGTAGCAAGAGCATGATTATTTAGAAACACAAAGCTGTTTTCGAACTATTCTGTAAACTGGCTTAAAGCCAGCTTTCATGAAGCGTAAGCAATAAGACTCAATGCCAAAATACTCTTTCCCTGAAAAGTCAAGCCTAGAGGAAAAAGTTAAGTAAACAGCTTGATCTTTCAGATTACATTCTTCATATAGGCAATTATTGGCAAACTAAGTTTTAAAAAGAGAAATGAAAAAGAAGTTTCTCCTAACGAATTCAAGAAAGCAAAGTTTTCTCTTAATCTTACATGAGAAAACTGAAAAAAGTAAGTGATATAAATGACTGATCTGGCTAAAGATGAACAATTTAGTTAGCCAACAAAACACACTGCCCTGATACTCTACACAAGTTTAAAAAGCAAATTCTAGTGGGGGAGGGGGTGAATATGGATTTCTACCGGAAAGACAAAGTCCTACAGGATTTTAAGATCGTATAAGATAGGAGATCTTAGGATCAGAAGGATACAGGAAGCAGTGTTCAAGTTGGATGCAGAACTGAATTTATCAAGGTATTGTAAGTATTTTCTCTTTAGATTCTTATAGAACCAGAATATTAACATATGAAACAGAACAAGATTTGCTAAACCATTCTCTAACATTCAGCATGCTCATATCAACAAGATATCAAAGGACTTTGTCTTTTCTCTATGTAACTCTCATTTAATTATACTGCAGTTCACTTTTAGAAGTGCTCAAGAAAGTCCTTCTTGACAACATTGTCTTCATAAATCTAGAATTTAAAATTTATCCAATTTTGAAATGTCAGATTTTTCTCCCAACTTTGAAGGAATGGTATGTTATTTAATATCCTTCCTAATAAAAAGTTGATAAATCTGTTGCTCTAACTTTTCTCAATTTAAAAACAAATGCGATTTAGAAAAAAGAATATTCACATTTCAATAATGTATGTTATGTTCATTTTTTTAAAAAAGTTTTCATTCTTTTCAGAGATGTTATAAAATACTCTGAATTGGTCCCATAAGTAAGGCTCTGTATTATGTAAAGCAGTTCAGCTATATCAGAAAATGTTTTGTTGAAATCTTAATGCTTCTAGTTTGCTTGCCATGGACAGGAGACTACAATGAGGGTTTGTAAACAATGCCAAGCAGAGGGAGATAAGGAATGATGCTAGTAGAAATAAAGTCCAAGGTAGTTTCTTATGATTCAAAGAAAATGAACTGTAACAGAAGGATTATGCAGAAAGGCATGAGTGCAATGATTAATTCATTCAGCCCTCACAAATTCTCTCATAAGTAACTATATTTGTAGTAACCTGGGATTCTGAATTAAATTGTTGTAAGCAAAAAGAAACACTAATGTTTCCCATTATCAACCTATGAATAACTCAGTACTATGTTATTGTCCAGTCTATTATGTCCTTTACTCTTAAACTATCTTTTGGAGCACTCCTTAGAGGCTTCTATTATCCTAACCTCAATCCTAAGTTGAGGGTGAAAAAGTTATTCCAAATAACTTCCCTATTTCAAGCAAACAGGTTTACTTGCACTCCTGCATGGACCTAAAAACAGCTTTGTGGCTTTATCAGTAAAATGTTTTTTAGAGAGAGGATGATTAGTAATTTGTCATAATGCAGATGATCAGTGCAGGTTTTCATAATGAAAGTCTCCTCTAACCAGAGGTAAAACTAGTCTACCAGATGGGCTCCATGGGCAAGGCCACTGACTTAAAAGTTATCTGGACTTCATGGCAAAGGCTGATTCAAAATCTTTCTCTAAAATCAAATGAAACCACAAATAAAAAGAAAAGGAGAGGACTGTTGAATAATAATTATGAGATATTAAAGTTGCATAACATCTCAATGTAAAACTAACCACAGAACCACCTACTCTAAGAAAACTGCATTTACCAAGGGCCGTAACAAGAAAATGATGAGAGTAAATAAATAACCCCATTACCTTCATCAACAAAGTCCACAACTACTTAATCCATCTACCTAGTGTGTAAAATTTGGCTCAGTTTTATTTTTGGAATCTTAACAGATATCTGTTATGGTAAACCAAGGAAGTTGCCTTTCTACTGAACTATACCTTGAATCTATTTCATTTAATAAAATATTGAGCCAATGCCAGAAATAAACAGATTCTACAAATACTAGAGTCCTAAGCCCACTGTCACATTTATAATTATTCTTTCTTGTCTTCACACTTTCATAAAGATTAAATGCATTTATTTGTACTTAGATTATATGTACTCTTTATTTTTTTTAAGTTTAGATTACTAGAGAAAAGTAAAGATTTTTAAAAAGTTTTAGAAAAGCCAAAAGTGCTCACCCATGAAGAATAAAAAATTGGAAGGCATTCGAATTTTTAAGGGCAACACAGAAAACTGGAAGACAATTGAGGTAATGTTTTCAAAATTCTGAGGGAAAGATGATTTCTGATCTAGAATTCTATATCCAAACTATCAATCAAATGTGAGAGTAGAATGCAGAATCTGAAAAAAATTGTATCACATTACAGACAGAGAAAGTTACTAGGGATGTATGGTATCAAACTGAAAAAGTAAATCTAGAAAGAGGAAGACCTGGAATCCAGAAAAAAGGGGATCTACCACAAGTGAGTGGTAATGGAAGAAACCTTGAGGGTGGCAGCAAGGCTAGAGAAAAAGTACAGTTTGGGGCAGAGAAAAGAAATTTGAGGAAAGATGCTTCCAAGAAAAAAAAGAGTGGATGTATAGATACAAGAATTAAATAAGGGATAATGTATTTTACAATAGTAACAATATCAGAAGAAATGTTATACTTCAAGATAGGAAATTAGGAATAAACTAATGATATGTACACAAATAACTAATAAAACAAACAAAAGACCCAAAGCAATTATTACCACAAGAAAAAACTAAAAGTACAATAAAGGAAGTCTAATGGTAATATACCCTGTGCCTTAGACACAATAATGTAAAACTTGACCATTACTATATTAGAAAGATTTTAAAAAGGGAAATGTGCGTGGTGGCTTGTGTAAAAAAGCTAATTCCTCATCATTCATAATAAGAAGTTAATAGATAACTAATGTCAAATAAGAAAACGAATAAAACAACAATATAAGAAAATCATTTGGAAAGGTGAAGGTAAACAGCAGAACAAACAACTGAAAGGGGTAAACCTGGTTATTTCAGGAGAGAAGGAATCAAGGTTAGACAAGAAGGAGATTGAGGACTATTAGTATTTACTATAAGCCACGTGGTATTATTTAACTTCGTATGTAATGTAAATACATATTGTTCTGAAAAAAATCAAAACCAGATTTAAAAACATGTTAAAACATGACAAATAAATTGATGAGAATATAAAGAATGTCTGAAAATAGTTGTAAATATGCTCACTATTTCAGATAGAGTAAGTCCCTGACTTACGAACAAGTTCCATTCTGGAAGAACGTTCGTAAGTCGGATTCATTCGTAAGTCGGATTCATTCGTAAGTCTGACAAAATGAGTCTTATACACCTTTGACACAAATATACAATGTAAAGCCAATGGTCGAATGATTCATGTTATAAGAATGAGCGACATCTACCATCTTTTCACCTTGGTCGAATCTCTCAATTATTTTCACTTTTGTTTCCATGGTTATTGCTTTGGGCTTCCTAGCAGTCCACTCCACATCACTCACCACTACTTTTCCTCTTGCTTCTGGACATCCTGGGCTCTGATTAAGCACTGTACTACTATACACTATCGCACTGTACAGTAAGCACACAGCAGCACAACTGTGACAATGACAACAGACACATGAGCTACTTCCGCGAATTGTTCACATCTACGAATGTTCGTAACGTGAGGTCTGTTCATATCTGTGAAAGTTCGCAACTCAAATGTTCGTAAGTAGGGGACTTACTGTACTGATACTCTAAACATTTGGGTTATTAGTTACTGTGGTAAGAGAAAAGAAGACTAGGCAAATATATCTTAAGACAGCACTAATGACAGAGGATCCAAGATGGTGCAGTAGATAAATGCTGTGATTGCCTCCTCCTATGACCACATCAAAATGATAACAAAATTATAAAACAATCAACCTGGAGAACCATCGGAAGGTTAGCTGAACAGAAGTCCTAAAACTAAGGATATAAAGAAGCCACATTAAGACTGATAGGAGGGGCAGAGATACGAAATTCACCGGCCCCACATCTGTGTGCAGCAATTAAGACTTGGGAGGAATGTCTCTGCAATGGAGATCCCCCCCAGAGAAGCAAGGTACCCCGGCCCAACACTGGGCTCCCCAGCCCACAGTACCAGTACTGGGAAGAGGAGGCCCCACAATATCTGGCTGTGAAAAAACAGTGGGGATTCGCACCATCCAGGTGAGACAGAAAACTGGGAAACCCAGACATTTTCTAAAAGGGCCCATGTACAGACTCACTCTCTCACAGGCACTCATCCTGGGCTCTGGCAGAGGGACAGAGACATACAGGGGAAGACTGAGTTGTATGGCTACAGGGTGAGGACTAGAAGGACAGTCGCCATATTCCCCGTGTAGAATCCTCCTCCCATGCAGCGGGCGGCGGGGGGGAGGGGCGCACGGGCACCATCATTCCTGTGTTGAGCCCTCCCCACACAGCCAACTCTAAATCTGCACTGGCCTGGTGACTCTGCTCAATCCACACTGATGACTCTCTGGGAGTCTGCCGCATCCAATTCGTGCAACCCTGGAGGCA